AGTTTATACTTTCTGTGAGGAAGACGTGGCTTCGCTGCTCACAGTGCAGTCCAGTGTTTTCATTAGTGGATAATCACCTTAATATAGGAATCATTGTGGTTTTTTTACCTTAATATGAGCCTTTTATATCTACAGTTGCCGTGGGTCGCCTTCCATTGAGACCACCATTTTGTACCTTGGAAGGGGAGGGTGAAGCGACAAAGTTGCAATCTGCTACTACACGATGTCTTCAATTCCAAAGTTGTTATTTTCACTATCACAACTACATTCCTTCTGCACAACCATCTAGTAATAAAACACAACAACCATTAAGGTGGAGTTAATAATAGAAGTAAAACAGAAACCTCAAGACTGTTACAACTTGTGTAGCATTCTTTCAAGAGCCGGTTGGTTCAATATCAACATAAAGACTTGGGAAGCAAGAGCAAGCAACAGCGAGAAAAAAGAAATGAACTTCTCTCTATCGATGACACTCTTTCTGAATTGTTTTGTAACATTTTGTTTTTGACTTCAGGGCCACCACAGTTTTTTCCACTCTGAGCCCAACATCTAACTGTAATCTGAAAAAATCTGTTTAATCTTAAAACCAACCCATCCTGTTTCTGACACAATGAACAACTACAGACCATGACATGGCTGAAATTCAGTTTTATTTTATCCATGTGAGCCACTCTGGATGTGGAAGATACTTGGTTTTAAATAGTCGGTCCAACAACAATCAAATCAAACAATTCAAATTGTGACAGATTTATGACTCCCTTATCTTCTATTTTTATTCAATGCTTTCCAAAACTGTTACAAATTACTAATACAAAAATGTTTAAACTGATCATTTTCTGATCCACCACCGCCAGGCACAAAACAACTGGATTAGAGTTGAGGGAAATATCAGAGTTTATCTCCATGTTTGAAAGAAATAAGTGTTTTGTCTCCTGTGTGTCAAAGTCAGACTCTTTGTGGACCCCTCCATCCACCCTGGTGGGCGTTGAGGCTTTATAATGTCACATTGCTGCCATGTCTAACTTTAATTTCTACTACGGGGATCAATAAAGGTACATCTTATCTTATTACTTCCACCGTTTGCTCCTTTGCTTTGTCAGTAAAATGTAGACATTAGTTATTTTTAGGCATTCTCCCAAATTTCCTTCTCTATATCTACATCAGACCCAAATCTTCTGCTTGTCCAACAGTTAATAATGTTAACAAAGCATGGTAACATAATAACCCTATAGAAACAATGTGGCCTTTCCTTAGGACAAACTGACTTTTTCCCCTCACTAGTGATAAAGATCAAGGATTGAAGAATAGCAAAGTTGTCTCTCCATCTCTAACTCAGCCATTTAGTTTTCTCGTGTGATGATCATGTAGCTTCATAACTATCGGATCGTCTACCTGTCGTCAGCAGCTAAACAGTGTGATCAGTGATGGAGGAAGTACTCATTTTACTTTAAAAAGTAAAAGACCTGAGTAGTAAATGTAGAAATACCACAGTGTAAACAGTCAAAGCAGGATTTTACATGTAAGTAAAAGTACATTAGCAAAGCAGTATTAGTAATAAAATAGTATCAAAGTATACTTAATGTAGTAAAAGTAAAAGGTTCAGAATAATATAAACTAAACTAACTAACTAAAGCCCTGAAATATTTGCTCGGGGGCAGTCTTTTAGCCACATAAAAACGGCCCAAAAAATTAGTTTCAAATATTAGATTTAGAATATTTTAATTGCTTTATATTGCAGTCAGAGCCCTTTCTGACGGGGAACTGAAGCAGTTCAAGCGTACACTTACTCTACTGTAGATGAACCCTTAATTCATAAAAGATGTTTTTATAACTCTTTGTCTCAGTTTGTTGAGACATATGAACTCTGACAAGGACCCTTCTTATTAAAACTACCACTACTAACACTTTATATGTAAACTTTTCACACTGTAGTAAATGTATCATAGTGAAAACTACCGGTATCTCAGATCTGACTAACTATCATATTTCACCTGTTCTTTTAGACCTACATTGACATGTAAATCATCTCAGGTATTCAGCTCAATGTGAGGAAACACATACAAGAAGACAAATTGTTTCTCACCTGCAGGAGAGGAGGAGAATCTGCTGCTGCTGACAGGACCTTCGATCAGGGCAGTTTATTTCCAGTAAGGATTGTTTTTAAAGTGAAGAAAGAGAAGGGAAAACCCTGCTGGCGTCACAATGAATCCTCCTGGTTGGATCTCCAGTCACTGCCGGGGGCAAAACATTCTGTAGTGGGTGACCACAGGCTATGTGATTGGTCCAAAGCCAACCAATAGCAGGAGCTAGACAGAGACAGACAAAGTGAACTCGCCCTCCATAATGTTTCCTGTTGCATGTGTTTAAGAAAAAGGTGTGCGTGTGTGTAAGAGGATATCATCTGGTCTTTATGATCTCAAAACAAAAAAAGAAGGCCATAAATGTGGGCATTAAATGTGTTTGTGTGTGTGAGAGAGGATGTTTGTCGGCTCTTGGTTGCTCAGCAGCAACTCTACAGAGACAACATGAACCCACAATGCAGTGGCACATGACACACCCACAGGAAATGGTTCACCCCCAAAAAAACACCCAAATACATTCGGCCTGTTTAGAGTAATTTTGCCTTTCCCGTGACAAACATCTGCAGTCCAGTTTGTACTGGAAGTAAACGCAAAGTCTGCATGACAACAGGGGCCATAAAGATTTGTAGATGGTAGACGTATTTGTATAATAACTTTTAATAAAAATGTGTGGTAGAATAACTCCTCTCTTGTTTTTTATATTTCGTATTATGAATCTGAATTTACACAATAACTCAAGTTATAAAATAAATGTAGTGGAGTAGAAGCATAAAGTAAAAGAATAAAAAGAAACTTCAGTCAGAACAGGATATAACAAAGGTTGGTGAGCTTGTTTGGTTGATCACATCACTTTTTCTGTGGTTACATCTTAAATGTCAAGCTCTGTTGGTCTACCTCATATAACCTACTTTCATCTTTATAAGACGTTCATCCTAGCTCTGTATACAGTAAGTATAATGTGATAATAGTGACAGCATTTACTCGTTTACTGTCAGATTTATTTAATTATTTACATAGATTTTTGTGAAAACCTTCAAATTAACCTCACAATTACACATAATGAACAGGGAGAGGAAATGGACACCAGTATGGTTATGATTCTGCATCTGGATTATTTTATTAATCACAAAAAATGTCATCAACTTTAATTCTGTGACAAAGTTAACAAACAATTTCACAATTGATTTAGAATTTACAATTAAAAAGTATTTCCTTATAACGTTGATGAGCTTTGGAAAAAGCTAGTAAATGGATCATAATTTAAGATAATTTTTTGTAGTTTTGTGTATTTTTCACGAGGTTGAGAATGAACGTTCACACTTTTCCCTGAACTGATCTGAATGATACTTTATTAGTCTGTAAAAAATGCTCATCAGCAGAGGTCTCGCATAGGGATTCAATTTATAAACTAAGTTCAGAAAGCAAGGAAACCCTCGCATTTGAGTTAATTACCGGGGAAATGTGGAGAGCCATGAGCAGCATCACCGACTATAATCAACCAAAAACCCTGGTGTGGGGGCGGGTGGAGTGTGTAGCATTACATAGTCGTTGTGCTGAACCTGTTTTTTAACAGATTCGGCACAAGCACCCCCTCCCACTAGCCCCCGAACCTCCACATTCCTCAACTCACCTGAACCACCTCCCACTCTCAGGGCTGGGCTCAGGGCCATGCAGGTAACTCCAATTGTGTTCTCGATAACTTTCATTACCAAACCAGCAGGCCACAGTTTGTGAGACTAAGAAACTGCATGTCACTGCCATTGTGTGGTGTGTCGGTGGACGACTGGGGGCGGACTTCATCTGCATCTGAATATAAGCAAGACGAAGGAGCTGGTAGTGGACTTCCACAGGACTAAACCTTCTCTGATGTTGAAGTAGTTTCATTCAACCTTTATTTTAAACTCAAGAGATCACTGAGAACATTAAGTCAAGTCAACAACAAGGAAAACAAAAACATCAACAAAATATATAAATGAGAGAGAAAGGCAATGATTTAGATGAGATTTTAAAGAGTTTAAGATAGATCATTTTATAGATGTATTAAAACAGTTAGAGAAGGTTTAAGATCCAGTTTCTAAAATGTCCAAAAGGTACAAGTGTATTGATTTTAAGGAGGTGCCATATTTGATTCCAGAAGTGTACTAAACCTAAAAGTCTTTCCCAGTTCTTATAAAGCACATCTGAGTGATCATTTGTAAAATGTTCCAATTTCATTTACAGATTTTAACAAACCTGAGAATAACACGTATATTTTGAAGAGAAAACCACCAAACCTTATCATGTAGAATATATAGATGTGTACCACAGGCATCACAGGTAATGACTCTCATGGAAGAGTTATGCACAGGGTCCAGAAGTTTCAGAGGGTGTGTGAGTATAAGTCACATCACTGTAGTCCAGGACGGACCTGAAATGGTTCATTTCTATAAGTGCACCTGGTCGACAGGCTGGAGGGTCCGGGAACAGATTCCAGTAGTCAGGCGCACTAAATTTAAAAGCTGTCTTTCCCAGTTCAGACCTGACTTGTGGGAGGTGAAGAGCCAATCAGTGGTCATTTGTTGGTCATTTTCCAGTTAGGGCTTTATAGATAAAATGATACCAGTGAGTGTCACATCATGCGAGATCATGAAGCTATACACTTTTGTCCACAATACTGTGATTTGGACCAATCAGCGTCCTGTGAGGAACTACTGGCGTGTTTTAAGTGTGTGTGACAACGTGTGTGAGAAGTGACAAAACAACAATGGTGGCTGCTGGAGAGGTTAGCGTAGATGCTGCTAGCATCAGTTATATCAGAACTGGAGAATATTTCTTCATTGAAAGAAGAGAAAAGAACAACATTGAAGTCTTTTCTCACTGGACATTTTTTTTTCACTCTTCTCCAGAGTAGCTTTGGTAAGACTTGACTATGTTATATGGTTCTTTAATCTTGTTTGGACCCGGCCTTTGACTTGGACTAAAACCTCCTTGGACTCGGTCTCCACAAGTCCTGGTCTTTGACTTGGACTCAACAAAAGCAGTCTTGACTCCAGCACTGGCTCTCAGTCATTTAAGTCATTTATTCAACTAGTGGTGTCAGAACTAAACAAGGTGTTTTAAACCAAAGATTTTGAAGCCACAATGAAATGAACAAAGACCTTTTCAGACTCTTCTCAAAAACAATGGTAATGTGTTCAAATACCCAAAATAACCAATGTATACATTTTCCTGACAAGCAACGACTTGTGCTTAATACCTAGAACTAATATCTAATATTTTCTGATGATTGGTCCTTGTGTAATATTATTTCATGTCCCACCCCAGTGTCGTGCTTCAACAAGAAATGCATCATGTCAGATGGCTCTTCACTCTGACAAACTGTAGGTGTGTCACTGAGAGATGCTGACGGAGAGAGGAAAAGATGATTTCCAATGAAAGATAGGTGGAAGCTGAACAGCCAAAATAAATAACTCAAAGTTCCTCCAAGTTTTTCCTGCTCACTTTGTGATTCATTGCTTCTTATGGTGTTTGGACAGGTGAGCTATGCTGCTGGCACCTCAACTATACAACCTATATGATAAATGATTCACTATTAAGTAGTTTATGAGTGACAGGATACATTCTTTTACTCCAATTTCTTTTTTTCCTGTGCTTCTGGCCCTGCTTTGAGCCATCTTTTTTGCTTTGACTCATTTGTTGACTTTTCACTTTTATAAATTCCCTTCCTCCTTTATTTTCCAGCACTTTACCCAATTTCATCAGCTGTGTTTGATCTATGTCTGACTTTTGTTTTTAATACATAGATAAAATGGTGATTTTAGCAGTGGTGGTGCATTTGTTGTCATGCTTTTTCTCCATCATGCAAACAAAAACTATGTAAATGACGATGTTTTTCCATTTACACAGAAAGTCTACAAGACAGATCTTGTCATGTATTCGTTGCGCTCTTCCCATGAAAGGTGTGTTGACATAATGAAGCGATTTCAAAGCAGTGTGTGACAGTTTGTATTTATCACATTTATAATTTGCTCTACACAAAATTCTCCTTAAAGTGAAACACACTTTTCCAGTTATTAAGGTATACAGTAATCAACAGTAAATTCTTAACGTTTAAATAATGCTTTATAATGTTTAGAGAAGGTGTTCACAACCTCGCCGATTAAAATAACCACAGTACTTGCTTTTTAAAGGTCCCAGTGGTGGGTTAGGTTGTGGCACAAGTGCCAAAGTGTTAGTTTTGCCGGATTGCCGAACTCCCTTTGCTTCAACCCTCCCTCTTCCCAAGTTGTGTGGGGGAAGAAACTGTAAAGAAACATGGCAAGTTTCAACACGTTGGCCTCCACATGGAGGGCCCAAAAATGTCTGTTCAGGTTAATAAACGGCTTCATTTTAAAGGTAACAAAAAACACAACGATTTCTTTTATTTTTATTCAATATTATGAAAACACAAGTTGGACATATACTCAAATTTCTTTCAAAATAATCCTCTAAAATGTTGCACACTAGACGTTTATAAGAAGATGCCAACCTTAAAACAGATTAACACACTGTTTAAAAGATGTTGGATTTAAACTACCAAAGGCCTAAACCTGGCCAACATTTTGGGTTTGGGTTGTGAGAAATTCTGTTATAAGAAATTTAGTTTGGTAAACAGCAGACATTTTATTTTCACCATGAGTGGCAAGCTTTGGAAGGAAACCAAGACAGACAACGTGGCACTTGATTCAGTCAAAAACATAAAAAAACACTGAAGTGGAAAAGTTTGTTTGTTTTTAGTTCAATACTGACGAGGGATAGAACA